GCACTAGACGCAATAAACGCCCTCAGCCAGTAGAAATAAAGGCTGGGGAAACCCTCATTTGCATACGGTCCCTATAAAGCGAGGGCGCTCAGGCTCACGCCGCGGATCTCAGGTCTTGTAGTGGAGGTGAAGTGAGCGGTTGGTCACAATGCCCGAGCCGGCCAAGTCCGCGCCCGCGCCCAAGAAGGGCTCCAAGAAAGCCGTCACCAAGACGCAGAAGAAGGGCGACAAGAAGCGCAAGAAGAGCCGCAAGGAGAGCTACTCCATCTACGTGTACAAGGTGCTGAAGCAGGTGCACCCCGACACGGGCATCTCGTCCAAGGCCATGGGCATCATGAACTCCTTCGTGAACGACATCTTCGAGCGCATCGCCGGCGAGGCCTCGCGCCTGGCGCACTACAACAAGCGCTCCACCATCACCTCGCGGGAGATCCAGACGGCCGTGCGGCTCCTGCTGCCCGGCGAGCTGGCCAAGCACGCCGCCCCCGAGGGCACCAAGGCCGTCACCAAGTACACCAGCTCCAAGTAAATCTGCGGTAGAGAGAGATTGACTAATCCAAAGGCTCTTTTAAGAGCCACCTAGCTTTTCAGTAAAAGAGCTTTAATTTCTCTACTTTGGTTTTACTGATGGGTACGTTCTGTATCTGAAACAAATGTTCAAGAATGATCTCACAGCCCTGGCATACTTCGCTGTTAAGACTATAGTCCCTATCTTCAGTCGCCGCTTTCTGCGGTCTGTGCTCTTGCTATTCACATCTTTCTCTGCCCCTGAACTCGGCCATTACCGGTGAGTTCACCCTGGCTCCTGCGGGCTGTCTCCGTTGCCAGCTGTTGGGCACCTTCCCTGCGCCCTCCGAAGCGTGCTATCGCTCGGCAGAAGTCTCTGGTGCCTGAAACGAGAGGAAAAAAGGGAAATGGTTACAGTGCGTTTGCTCTTCTTGACTCAGGCTGGTTTCTGCCTTGGTCTATCCCTTCTCCACGTTCTCATGGCATGAACCTCTTTGTTAGCAGCCGCAAACATAGTGACTATAGATAAATGCTGGGGTTTTCTTGGTACTTTGATTTATAGGTCTTCCCTATCTAGAAAAAAAACTTCTGTTTGAAGTGCATGCCTTGAAGGCTTACTTAAGCTATTTCCCCGTTTGTTTTGTTGTTTTTTCCAAGATTCCCAATACAGGATCGTTAATGGTTTCCGAACAGACTAACGTTCAGACAGATAACATCTAATCGAGCGTTAACGACTGTGATTTCTTAGTTCCTGCTGCCCCCTGATGGGTGTTTCCGAAGTTTCTATCACTTCGCTTTTTACAGCATCAAGTTAGGATCTCGGACTCGGAGACATAGGAGAAACTGGTCACGAAGAATGCAATGCTAGTGAGGCTTAGAAGACAGAGAAGTTTAACAGCTTCTGCAGCGGCAGCTTACTTGGAGCTGGTGTACTTGGTGACGGCCTTGGTGCCCTCGGAGACGGCGTGCTTGGCCAGCTCGCCGGGCAGCAGGAGCCGCACGGCCGTCTGGATCTCCCGCGGGGGGGTGGTG